AGACGAACCGCTCCATGATCTTCCCCAATATTAAGGTCAGTCTGATGGGCCTGTAGTTCCCAGGATCCTTCTTCCGGCCCTTCTTGTAGATGGGTGTCACATTGGCAAGCCTCTAGTCATCTGGGACCTCCCCTGTTAACCAGGACTGCTGATAAATGATGGAGAGTGGCTTGGCATGTCAGGCAAACTCCGAATGATGATGACTTTCGGTTTCATTGGAAAAGAAAGAAGAGCTTTTACCAATAAGTGCAAATCTTGACTTGAGTGATATTGATCATTTTCTCAGATTCGGGTTTCTTCAGGGCTTACTGGCACCAGGTAGTTCAAGCACAAATTATCTTTGTGCTCTTGTGCTTAAATCTGTCATCGTGCCTCATTTGAAATGCAGTCAGATGCCTTTGATGGGACAGGGTCAGGCCTGTCTAAGCAGTCTTCCTCCATCACAGAGACAGGACTATCAAAGCAAGATTTAAAATTGAATTAGAAGGTTATATATCCGCAAGACTGTCGTTCCCATTTTTAAAGAGAGAGGCTTTTTTAAATGGAAACCATGCATTTAACTGATTCCTTTATGTTAGCAAGATGACATGTCTGTCCTCCACTTACAATCATACTGTAAACACTAGATAATGTGGTTTTTAAAGAACCTCCAGTTGTTAGCTTAGGGGAAAAAAAACCCTTCATGCATTCCTAGCTATTATGTGTGTTCAATTTAAAAAAAATTTTAAAAAGATAAAAAAAGCAGTAATAACTTTGCAGAACCTTATTTTATTGTTTATTAGCACCCACAATACCAGATGCATTATAAATCCCAGGGGCTTAATTTTAAACAGACTGCTCTGGAAAACTCTTTAAATGAGCTCTTCAGGAAAGACTGGATATTCTAGCATGTTTTGGTGTAAGCATCTCTTTTCAGCCATCAATTTTAGATACAGTAAAACAGACAAACTCTTAGGTCTCTGTTTTGAAAATATTATGTAAAGCAGTCAAGGTAGAACAGGGAAAATCATGGGCTGTGTAAATCTTAATCCATGTAAGTGAAAGTAGAGTTGGAGCCTATAAAAATTCCTTAGAAAACAGTGAACAGATTTTCAGTAATTCTGTATTTTAATGTGCACTTAATTAGCTTTACTAAAATGGAAATTGTCCCTAAAGACTGTAGCAGGTGATGGGTTCTCTATTTAAAGAATATTTCCAAGAAATTATTTTCCCCAGAGCCCATGAGCATAAGGAGTGTGGTCCTTCGCAGTCTGTTTAGCATGCGTGCCTTTCCTTAGTTTATCCTGTTAAGGAAATAGCATATTCAAGTAATGATGGACAGACTTAAAGTGAAATCATGTTCAGTCCCAGACAAACTGTGATGGAGTCTCTGTTCTAGAGGGATGGTAAATATAAAGGAAATTATGCAGAGGGATGAGTTTTTACAATTGCATCTTCTCTGGAAGGACACAGGGTGTTGGAGAGGGATTTCTGGCTACATCTGTGAGCACTGATGCTAGGTTCAGGTGTATCCTGTCAAGCTGCAGGATGCAAACTGTTCAGCAGTTCCAACAGTTGCATTTTCTTGCATTGTCTTGTGCCGCTACTTGTTATGTCAGTTGTTTGAAATTATTGAAAATCAGCTCTGATCTTTACATATACTCTGCTCCCTGAAGAGTGTCATGAAACCAGGTGAGCAAGATGAGAAGGAGGCTGTGCTTTTGTGGAGGAGGGTGCAGCAGGAAGGGCTTCTGGAGGTTTTTCATCTGTGAACTGGCACCGTGTGCTGCTCTCACAGTTGCAAACACACTGACTCTTAAATTTGAGTTAAAACTGAGTTTAAAACCAGGGGGAGACCGCAAGGTTGTGGGCTGCCCGGTGCTGATTGCAAAAGCTGCTGTTCCTGCCAGAGAGAACACTGGGGCAATCAAATCTAGGCTTGTGTCTTTACCTGGCACAAGTCAGGACTGCAGTGGGATTGATCACACAGATACATGAGGAAAGAGTGATCATTATGTATCTGGGAAACATAAAGAGTTTTCCTGACTTACAAACATCTTGCCCGCTTGAATGGTGTGTGTCACATATTTACTTGCATATGCAAAACATACCTATTGTAATACATGCTTATGCTGCAAAAATGAAAATTATTTCTGCCTGTGACTGCAGGCAGGAATGGTGTATTACAAAGTGATACATTCTTTTCCCTTTTCTCCCAGAAAAAAATTAGGTGTAGATCCAGCAGTACGTTATATTCAGGTAAATGGGTCCACCTGCAGGCATTGGTTTGCAGAATCAGGAGTGTTTTACTTTAGTTTCTTAAACACTGCTGCAGGAGGGCTCCTCTTATTAAAAAGCACTGACAGCAAAAATAAAACCTAAAATACTTTTCCCTTTGAGGCGGTCCCCTATTCCGGAAATGACTTGGCCACCTGAGATTGGACTTCTGAAAGATCTGTGTTCAGTTTTCTCATAAAAACATTAAGATGATGACATAACTGAAAGTCTGGGTGAAATATGACTTAACAGTTAAAACGCATCTACTTATGGATTTGACAGCGTGGTATGCAGAGGTCTTCTGATTGAGCAGTAGTTCACCGGATGCAGAAAAATAGCTCTGATCAGTGTGTGACCTTGAAAGTGGTCATGGGTCTTCCTCTGCCCAACTGGACAAAAGAGAACAGAGAAGTTCTGTTTCCCAGTATAAGTTGTTGCTTATCTGGAAGAAGTAACTGAAAGTGGGGGTTTTTGCTGTTCTCAAGTAATTACAGTTCTCAGAATTTTACACACATGAGAATCACTTGCAAAAGTGAGTGGCTGTCCCCTTAAGATCTAGCATTTGAAAGATCTCAGTAATAGCAAGTCCCTTCCTTGAGGGCCAGAGCTTTACTTATGTTTGATCAGTTTGTATTTCAATGCAGATGACACTTATCCTTACATCACTTTTAGGTTTTTACTTACCTTTCCTGTGCATGTTCACTGTTTTGAGTGTCAGATTTGAGTCTATCTTCATGGCATTTCAATGTACATTAAAAACGAACTTCTTTATCCAATGCCAGGTTAAAAGAAACGTTCAAAACCAAATAATGAAAATGCTAGGTATCCCATCACTGCTTTTCAATGAGGATAAAAATGCAGAATAATTAATTTTTAGAAATTGCAAAAGAATAAAACTTTTTGTTTCACTGTTTAAAAAAAAAAAGAAGAGATCATTTAATGAATGAGACAACTCTGTCATGCAGTCCTTATTGTGGTCAGCAAAACTTAGATTTCTGCTTGACCTCTGGAAATATGCTGTGGGAAACACCTCTGCTCAAACAGTGTGACAGAAAATTAAGACTTGGGAAAGCAGTAGGTCTGTCATTAAGCTAAAGTGGAAGGGCTGAGATAAAAAATGGAGCTTTTCACTGTTCAGGTACAAATGCGTGTGTTCAATGTGAGGATGTCCTTTCAAGCCTGTACTATGTATCTTATTGAACGCTGTTGCCTTGGAGTATTTGAACACTAGACAACAGGCTAGAAGCATCATGAGTTTCTCTTCCTTTTGTTGTGAGTTGAGAAAGTTTTAATAAAAATTGAATTTGATACATAAAAACCCCACTGTTCAACGTCACTCCTGAGGAGTATTAGCCCTACTGTTTGTTTTGGTGACATCCCGTACTGCTTCCGAGTGTCAGCAAATCCACATGACTTTACTTTTTTATCAATATGGTGTTTAAAGAAAAGTTTGCCCTTGGCAGACTCCAAACATTTTTACATATTTTTCAAAACTTGGATAGTTTTCTGGGTGTTTGTGTTCTAGGGATGAGTTTTTTTGATGTCTGCTATTAAATTTTACATAAAATGACTTTGCAATGCAAATTTTTTTTTTTTCCTCCACAGATGAAATCATGCATCAGGATATCATTCCCCTCTATGCTGCAGATATTCAGGACCAGTTAAAGAAACAATTTGCTTACCTGTCAGGTAAGACTATGGTGTTCCCTCCTACAGACATTGCTCAGGTATATGGTCAGGCCTGTTGTGCTTTTGTAGTTTTTGAGGTCTCATGTAGAAGAAATTCTTATTTTATGAGCAACTCAAAATACAGACTACAAAGACTTGTTATTTAAGGACTATGAAAAGAAGATCTAATTTTTTTAAAGTATAATAGGAATTTCATATTATAGTTAATTTTCCATTTTCTAGGATAATGGGATGGAATTTAGGGTAGGATAAAAGAATAAGCAGGGGGAAATAAATAAGGAAGTGCTGATGAGCGTGGTACGGGAACATGTAGTCTCCTGTAGTCAGTGCTAAGGGAGCTGTGGGTACTTACCCTGAGCTCCCCAGTGCTTGGTCCTGAGACACGGCCCAAACACTGACCTAGAGCTCTCTGAGCTAGCTGAGTTCTCACTGAGAGTTGGAGAGTGCAACGTGGATGCACTGGTGGTTCCTGTGGTCTTGCAGTCCTCGTCCCACAGGCTGTGCTGCCACTGGCTCTGCTGCCAGGTTCTATAGTGAAGCCTTGGACTTGACCAAAGTAGAGTCTGAGCGAGCACCACAGTACCACCTTCCCCCACAGCCTCAGTGCGAGGGGTCAGGCATGTGTAGCACCAAGTTCTGGATGAGGTTTTCACCTTGGTATTGCCACCTGCCTTTTGCAAAGGAACCTGCTTTTAGGTGTAAAGCCATCTCTAAAAGCAGCACAGCCATGTTCACACAGCACGGAGTGTCTTTGCCCCGGATAACCTGTGGTGGAGGCCTGTATTTATGTGCCATGCAGGTGTTGATTGCTGGGCTTGGTCCATCCTGATGGTGGAACCACAGCCAGCTGGTAATGGGTAAAGGGAGATAGCGCCTTTGCTCACTGATCAGGCTCTGAGACAGGTGTCCGATAAGCTTCTGAGTTTGTTTTCCTGCCCTCTTGCCTGTAAAGCTCTTGCAGGTCTGCAGCAGCGACCTTGCTGGAGTTACTGCCCTGCCCTCCCTCCCGTACAGAGAGAGGGAGAGCATCGGTGGCTTGGCAGGGTTGCCCTGCCTCCTGGCATAAAGGAGATTTAACCCCTAGGCTGAAGCTGGACTTTATGACTGTTCCCTCTTCCTTTGAATCCCTCCCTGCATCAGATCAAGAGACACGGGGGAATGAGGCGATGTACTGCTTTGCTCAGCAAGAGCTCACTGAATCTTCTTGTACTTATAATTAGCCGTTATGATTTATTCGTGCCACACAAGCTAAATTAAATGTGGGTCTGCAGTAGTGACTGTTTTCCATGTGCTGGTGGTAGCACTTGAAAATAAGATTATTTTGTTTATGAAGTTGGCTGTTCATGCTCCATTTGAGATGATGGTGTTTAAGCTACATTTCTTTTCTGGCAGTATATTTTTTTGGCTTTCCAAGCTCTTCCTTCTTATCCATGGGCAGAAAATAGCTCATAATAGTGTTTATGCAAGAATCAGCCTATCTAGATAACAGTAAGTAGGGTTTGCATTTTACCCCTCTGAAGGGGGGGGGGGGGGAAACTGGTGACAATAATAGATGAATAAATGCTCATTGAGTCCAACTGGAGATTGTTCACATCTTAAGTCTGTTGAGTTCGCACAGCCACAAGCGTCTTCAGCACTCATTACATCCACTGTGCAGTGGAGCTCAGTAAGAGCAGCCGTTCCTCATTCTATTTTCTTCTATTTATTCACTCTCGTGTCTATTAGAAGTCTGTTTTGTTTGCCTGAAATAGTAGGACAGCTGCATTACTGTGGACTGTGACTATATTCTCCATTGTATTTCATTACTCTTGGGCAATTTGACTTAGGCATTTTCATTTCACTTTGGACTTCAGTTCTTTTATCCTAATATTCTCCTGCAGGACAGTGACGGTTAATTTTCTGTGCTGTACCAAACAGTGGTGTTATGGGTTCTATGAAGAAAGGAACAGAGATAATATTTTGATACTCGATCTATGTACAATTTGTTCTTGCAGTTGCACTTATGAGTGGCTTTGCTGGAATGGCACTGAAGACATTCATAGTGTGTGTGAAGGGGACCTTTTTGCTTATTACTAAAGTTACCTTGGAAATGGAATCTTAGAACATGGCATAAAGTTCATTAAAATGGAAGTCCATAGATTCCAAATACTTCTGGTAGATAGCATCTTTGCAGGTATGGTGAATTGTGTAATGCCCTGGATGCATTTCACTTTTTAGTTTTGGGCTTTTTAGCAACAATGTGACATATACTTGAGAATTGCTTTAGTTTCTCTAATAGGTTGTATCTAGGTCTCATGGGACGCTTGCTTGAATAGTGAATGAAGCTTAGTCTGCTTCTGTGGCTAAGGGCTGTAACCCTTCCTAAGCTGCTTTCTCTGTTTTGGTCTCTGTCAGGGTCACTTCTTTCTCTTGGTCTCTTTTCCTCTGTAGGACATTCAAATTAGGCTTGAAATGAAACAACATAAAGCAAAAACTTACATTAATGCTTCAGTTTTTCAGTAAATATAGCAAAGTGCAATGAGGTCAAGGTGCTGGCTACTTCTACAGATGCTGAAGGCTCTAAGTGTTGCTCAGCAGCGAGTATGCAGTTGTGTGTTCAGCTTAAATATAATGGAAGGACAAGCTGTGGATGAGGTTTTCAATCAATTATTCACGTAACAAGTTTATAAACCCTGAAGTTAATATTTTACCTCAGGCCCAGCTGCTTACTTTTTTTTCCCTTGGAGTTTTTTCTTTCTGTGGAACAAGGTCCTTATCGTTGCAGGAATTGTCATTACTCTTTTGTGTTGTTGCTAGTCTGTATTAAACATCCTCTCTACACAGTTCACTGTTTCACCTGTCTTTTTTCTTCCTTTAGTTAGTATTTATGCAGCCACTTTTTCTTCTGCATTGTAAAGGGTCTTCCGTTTTTTTTTGGGGGGGGGGGAGGTTGGTTTTTTTTATCCTCACAAAGGACACTGCAAGGTCCATTTAAAAGTATTTGGAAAATGTATTCCTTGCAGCCTTTCATTCACACTTTATATTTTCTTTTATAAATATTTTATTTTCTCTTTCCTTGATTGGAAAGTTGCTGTGTGACTTTCATACCCAATTTTGCAACTATTTGCCATTGCTGTATGCAGGTATGTTAAAATAAATGTAGATTAACAAGAGCGTACAGACTGGTGTGTGTGTTTATAAGAATCTTAAATTGTGCAAGCTATATGTTGTGCAAATGAGACTCTTGGCCACCACAAGTACTGAACCAATTATTTCAGCTCACTTTCCTTTGAATGCCTCTTTCTGCATTGAAAAACTTCAAACAGAATATTTCCATTAAAGGAAATGCAAATACGAGTTCATGCTACTTACATTTTTGCCTATCAATTCATAGTTGTTTTTCCTCCAGTTGAGAAAGTTAGCATTGGCACTAGCTTTCAAAATGCTTATTTCTTTGCCCCTTTAAATTATCATTCTAAATAATAAGCTTCTCCTCTCTCTCTGTAACTATTTCCTTGGCTGTGCTCTTGCTCTTTTCTGTGGACATGACCTGAAAATACCTAACTGGTTAAACTGTTCTCTTTGAAGTATCCACAGGTGCTGAGTCTGTCTGTAAAATTGTGTTTGAGAACTGAGTGGATCCTGTACCACATACATTGCATCAGTTATTTAAAAATTTTGACTTGATTTTTGTTGCCAATATAACATGTTCAATGTATATGTTGTGTATTGACAGTGGAAGAGGTGTTACTTATCACCTTCTGTCTTGCACAGGTGTAGGCTTAACTGCTGTTTTATATTCCCTGTGCTAAACCCACTGTGTGTAGAGATTAAAAAAAAAAATAGTAGTAAAGAGAAAGGAAAAAAATTAATCCATGGCTAAGAGATCTCCAGTTAAAATACATCCAGGTACAAATTTAGTTCTTGCAATCTGATTTCTAAGCCAGTATACTTGCTCCTGATCAGCCTGGGCAAAATGCAGTTTGTGAAGTTATGCAAGTAAAACTTCTTTCTCATTTCAAGGAAAGAATATTTTAATAAATTCCTCTTGATCCTGTTTTCTTTTGGAAAGAATATGCAATAAAGCTTTTATTCACTACCTCATTGAAGTCTACACATAATTTCAAATACTCCAGGTCCTCCAGTTAAGTATATTATGCAAGTAGAAGGGAGAAATTCCTTATCAGAAACATACAAACATAATAGCACCACAACAGCAAAGCAAGCCTTTCATTCACACAGGGACTGCACTTTTGACATGACTGCAAACAAGATTACTTTTACTTAAGCCAGGTCTTTTTGAACTGGAGTTACAGATCCAAGCCGTTTAACAATGATGATTGTCTTGAATCTTGTGTGTGTATTGATCAATATAGTGATCTTTTTTCTTTTTTTTTTTTCTTTTTTTTTTTTTTTACAGTCCAAATACCATTTCATTTGTATTATAAATTCAGGCTAGGAGACCTCCCTCTTTGCTCCATCATCATCTAATTATAACCAACTACCTTGCTTCCTTTTTGTGGGATTGGGCAGAGTGCTTTTGAGAATACATTTCTTATGAAAACAGGAGCAGAATAACTAGGGTAACATTACAAAATAATCTCCTGCTCTTCTTTCTTGGAAGTCTGAGTAGTCTTCTTTGCTGCTCCCCAATTTTGCTGGCTGTACCAAAAAAACTAGCATGGCTTTCACAGGGTTGTGGGGAACTGCACTTTTCTCTATGCGTGCGTGCACATGCAAATGTGTCTGTGCTTTTTAGCAGCTGCACGATTCATAGTCTTTGTAATTTTCCCTGTCAATGCCATTTTCAATTGAAAATAATATTAATTATTTCTCATTTTTTATTGTTTTTAGATACCAAGTCATCAGTATGCCTTTTGATTAGAATTTGTGTAAAACAGTGTTGCAATTTCCTTGGCTTGGCACTTCTCTATCACCCTACCTGCTTAATAAAAGAAAAAGAAAACAAACCCAAACGAGATTGCAACTGTGATGGGAAGAGTTAGATGTAGCAGAATATAAAGAAGAAATGTTAAATTACCTAGACTTCAGGCAAACTTTACCAGTCCCATCTCACGGCAGCACAGCTAGTTTTCCAAGGATCATTTTTTTACTCCTTTCATAAAGGAGATCACAATGCTCTGGGTCCACATAATTTTAGCAGTTGGTGCTATTGTTTAAATAATTATTACAGAAGTTAGGAACATGAAGTGCTGTTTCCTAAGCATAGTTGAGTCATTTTGCTACCTATCCTGTGGAGCTAACGCAATTCAACATGTTTTTAAAAAGGGTATTTCTCCAAAACACAGGGCTGTTACTGTTGTAATAACTGGCCTTAGACTAAGACATAGATCTATTTAGAAAAGCTACACCAAATTGGAGGTTTACTAGAATTGTAGAGATTTATCCACTGAAAAATTTCCATTTGAGAGGTAGTTTGTGTTTACTTGATACTAAATCTGTTACAAAAGTTTCAGTTGAATAGGTTGCCACGGTGGCTTGTAAATTAGTTAATAACAAAAGTTTTGCTTTAATGACGGGTCACAGAAATGCAGATCTACTTAATTTAAAGTGGTGTTGTGATTTTTTTTTTTTTTTAATTGCTGACATACACTTCAGTGCTTTTTATTTCTATGGTGTTTCCATTTTTAGACTCTCCTCTCATTTGGAGAATATTCCTTACAGCTGCATGTTATGAGACAAGTCTCAAATAATTCTTGGGAATCATTTCATCCCTCAGTCATGGGATTGTTCAGCCTGGAGAAGAGAAGGTTCTGGGGAGACCTTCTTGCAGCCTTCCAGTACTTAAAGGGGGCTGATAAGAAAGATGGGGACAGACTTTTTAGCAGGGCTTGTTGCAATAGGACAAGGAAATGGCTTTAAACTAAAAGAGGGCAGACTCAGACTAGACATAAGGAAGACATTTTTCTCTAGGAGGGTGCTGAACCACTGGCCCAGGTTGACCAGAGAGGTGGTAGATGCCCCATCCCTGGCAACATTCCAGGTCAGGTTGGACGGGGCTCTGAGCAACCTGATCGAGTTGAAGATGTCCCTGCTCACTGCAGCGGGGGTTGGACTAGATGAGCTTTAAAGGTCCCTTCCAACCCAAACTGTTCTATGATTTTGGATGGTGATTAAAATTCCAGTTGCTCATTTAAAAAATTGCTCTGTACAAATTTAATTGTTTTCATGAGTTGTAGCACTTAGAGAGTTCATCTAAGTTTTGTGTGTCCTTTTTTTGTAATTGCGTGTATATAATTCTGAGATACTGAGAGGTTATTATGTGAGTTGTTTTTAATAAGATGTTTTAAATTTTTGCCTTAAACCTGTGTTTCAAGAAAGATGAGAGAAGTAAAATTGTTCACTTGGTCACTCACATGCTTTCCCTCTCACTATAAACAAAAGTAACAACAACAACAAATCCCAACCTAGCTTCACAAACTCCTGTTTCCATTTTATCTCCTCCTAAATTCTGCGGCTTGGTTTACTTCTGGAGGAAGGGAAGAAAATCACATTTTACACAGCTAATTCAGGAATAAACTGTGCAATGCCGCTTCTGCAGAGATGAAGCAAGAAAACATGATTCTGAATAAAGGAAAAAAATCATTCCTTGCTGCATCAGGTTCATTATGGAATAAAGGACGCTTTAAAAGGTGAACTCACCTACTACATTTACTACTATTTAATACAAACGCAATTTAAATGTAGAATTTTTATTTTGTTTTATTTCCCATGCCCTTTTTGTACCTTGAGTGACAAACACTCATTTGTAAGTAGCGACTACTTTGCTGAGTGGCCTGTCTCCCATTGATGGTCATGTAAATTAAAATTGTGATTTGGAAAGCAACTTCTATAGTCCAGCTATGTTAAAACTGAAATTTTACAGAATTTATTATGACTAGCACTTCAGGTCACTCTGCCCTAAAGGTAAGGTCCTATAAGGAAAAGCACTTGAGCAGCATTTGAAGGTATATTTGTGCTTAAGTGTCCTGGCAGGAAAATACTGGAGAAAAAGATAATCAGTGAACAACGGTCTTCTAACAGCATGTGGCAGGACAGAGTTGTCTCCACCTGAGATAACCAGGGATGAGTGTACTAGAAACTAGAAATTAATAGGCAACATTAAGGCAGGATGGCTGTATATGCCCTTGACATTCAGTGGTGGTCTGGGAACTTCCTGAAGGTCACAGTCCGGGCTTCTGCTTTTAGGATGTGTCCTGCAAGCATATTGTTCTTCTTTTGTTTCATATGTCCTAATTATAGAAGTTAAGTAGAACAAAGCAAGCAACTGAGTGGGATACTGCAAATAATGTATAGTTGTACCTAAAAATAGGTATTCTAGAGAGAGCAGAACACCTCATGAGCAACAGAAATAATGATTATCATGCTTGAAAAATGTTTTTAATGAGAGAGGAAAATGCTTTGGTCCTGAGAGCCTGGGTAGAATGAAAAATAATAGAATCAAAATTGGTCTTAGCTTACGTTTGTATTGTCAACACTTATATAGCTAAAAGACTTAATGTTACTGCATTTGGATATGTCATAAAAGTTACATTTGCAAACTTGTTGTATTTGCATTATAGCTGTATTTTTTTCGTGTTGTTTAAATGCATCCAGAGCACATTATTTTCTGAGGTAGTTTGATTTCAAGAGCTACATGGTGGTAGCACCATATTGCCTGTAGGCTGGTAGATTGAAGTCAGATTCACCACAAATTAACATAAGGATAGTATCTGAGCTCTTCTAATTACATGCGGCTTTGGAGGGAAATGGTGGTTTCTTGTATCAAATGAATCTGAGCTCAAATATCTCTCTTCTTTTTCTGGCAACGTTAGATGTAAAGGCACTTGAAGTGGGTAATAGCACACTGCAATTTTCACAAATCACTGTTGCTGTCCTGATCAGACGGTGTTGTTAATACAGTTTACAGCTGATGTCTGCACAATTGTCGGATTTCAGGTCTGGAAAAAAATCCTTATTCTTTTGACACAGTCATTTTTTAGCTGTTTTTCTTATCTTTTTGAACTGTCAAGCAAAGATAACTTTCCAGCAATCTAGCTCGTCAACAGACATACTGCAGTGTAGGTGTTCGGCTCTGCTTCACCTTTTGTCGGTGACCTGAGAAATTGAACAGGAAATCTCATTTGAAACACTTTCCCCCATTTCTTTTAATGTTCTGCCACTTCTTTTAGACTGCCCTGGAAGCAGAGCAGCTAGCTGAAGGAGGGTGGGTGGGTGTGGTAGGAATGAGTTCAAACTGGTAAGAAGGTTCAATCTTCAGTTCAAGGTGGAGATTCACCTACTTAATTCTGGATTAACTCCCCCCCCCGCCCCAGTTCATTTCTTTCTCCAGATTGGTTATATTTACAGTTGATGTTTATAAAAAGAAAGATGCACTGCCATCTGGTGTCAAAACTGTGTTGACATGAGCAAAAACATTTGTACAGAGAAAATCTAATGTGGTGTAACAAGTTTCTTCCTATAAAACTTCCTAAGCTCTGAAGAAGGGACTAGACTCTTCAGAATAAACAGTGTCCACACTGATGAGCCCTGCACCAAAAAAAAAGAAGTAGTAGTTTCATTACTGGAAATTTGCAGGCTAGGTAAAGAGACTTGCATGTAAACGTGCCTGCTGCTTGTTTCTTTTGTAGGTGGAAGAGGGGAAGATGGATGCCCTGTTATCACCTTTCCAGACTATCCAGCTTTCAGTGAGATACCCGAGAAGGAGTTCCAGAATGTCCTGACCTACCTGACGAGTATCCCAAGGTGAGCACCTGTCTAGGAGAAAATACCCTTTTATTTGCTAAGTGATGTTTCGCATTCAGTAACTTACACAACAGTGTAAAAGTCAGGCTTGGTATTTAGTTAAAAAAAAAAAAGGAAAATGCAGCTTATAGTGCAGTGTCAATAAGTGTTGATTAGTGACAGCTGCCTAATATAGTTGTTAGATGAATTATATAGTGCTATTTATATTTCATCAGAAAAATACTTCCTGGTATGTATGGATGCAGATTCTGTGATGGACATTGTTCTCTGGTTTCTTATCTTTGCTGTATTTTAGAGTGCAATGTTTTGTGTTTTAATTGAAAACATGTATAATTTTGGCAGAACCTGCTAATTCCTGGATGCTACTCATGATGTTACTCAGTGTGAGGGAATACTCTATAGTTACATACAGAGGTTTGTCCTAACCCCTTGTACTCTGTTTCCCTGTCAGCTGAATGTACAGTCTTTGCAGCACTTCAAAAGCTTTGATTGAGGGTGCTAAGCAGGCCCAGCAATTAATCCTGGCTCTCTTAGGGGGCACGGCAGTGTTATCAATGGACTGCTCAATAACAATTGTGATTTTGTTGAAGATCTCTTAGGGCATGAAATAGTGGAGTTCAAAATCCCGATGGAAGTGAGGAAGGCAAGTAATAAAGTACAGACCCTAGACTTCAAGAGAACAGACTTAGGGCTTATTCAGGGAACTGGTAGATGGGATTCTATGGAAAGCAACTCTGAAGAATAAATCTACTGAGGAAGGCTGCCAAGTTTTTAAGGACAGCATCCTCCAAGCACAAGAATGGTGCATCCTGGAAAATAAATAGATGTAACAGGAGACTGACCTGGCTGAACAGGGAACTTGTGACTGAGCTGCGCTACAAAAACAGCATACAGGAGGTGAAAGCAGGCTATAAAGAAAGAAAATAGAAACATTGCACAAACAAGTAGGGATGGTTGCAGGAAAGTCAAAGCACACTTGGAGCTGAGGGACAAGAAAAAAGGGACATCAAGGACCACCAAAAAAAACTTCTGTTGCTTTAGCAGTACAGGAATAAACAAGGAAAATGTGAACTTGTGCTGAATGGGCTGGGTGAATTAGTAGCAGCCAATACAAATGAGGCTGACACTTGATTTCTTTGCTTCAGTCTTCACTGACAGTGTGTCACAGCCCTATGTGTTTAGAGTTGAGGGTTCAAGGAGAATGACTAGCAACAGGTGAGGATGAGGTCAAGGATCTCTTGAGAAATCTTGACCCAAGTCTAGTCTTTGGGATAAGACGAGCTGTATTGAGAGTGATGAAGAGTCTGGCCAGTATCATAGTGAGGCTGCTCTCTATCATCTTTGAAAGGTTTTTGAGATCAGAGATGAAACATGATTACTAGAGAAAGGTAAATAATTGCATTCATGTTCAGAAAGAGCACGAATAACGATCTGGAACAGTACAGGCTGGTCAACCTCACTTTGGTCTGTGAGAAAATTATGGAGCGAGTCCTCTTAAAATACACTTTTGGGCACAAAAAAGATGGTGATGAGGAATAGCCAGCATGGATTATTGTGCTTGACCAACCTATTTCTGTGATGAAATTACAGGATGCATGAATAAGGGAAGCTGTGCATGTTTCTTACCTCACCTTAAGCAAGACTTTCAACAGAGTCTCTGCAGCACCCTTGTATCCACTTTGAGTTGTTATGCCTTGAGAGGTGGACTGCTGGGTGGGTGAGAAACTGCTTGGAACATCCAGCTCAAAGAGTGGTGGTTAATGGCTCATGCTCTACCTGAAGACAGAGTTCATCAGGGAACCACACATATCTGTGCTGCCTCGTATCCTCGGGAAGCATCTGGAGGAGGAGATGGAGTGCACCCTCATCAAGTTTGTGGATGAGGAACTGATGGACCTTCCCACTGGTCCCTTCCCACTTGATGGAAGGACTGCCATTGAGCAGCCTAGGCAGGTGGGAGGTATGGGCTGACAGGAACCTCATGAAATTTGACAATGACAAATGCCAAGTCCTGCAATTGGGATGAACTAACTGCCTGCAAGAATGCAGTCTGGGTAGCTGGCTGTGCTTTGAGCAGGAGGTTGGACTAAAAGCCTCCTGAGATCCCTTCAAATCTGAATCATTGTATGAATCGAGATCTCCTTTGTGTCTTTCCCAAATTGGGCTATATGGCTTTCCCAGATTAAAAACTCTAGAAATACAGGTTGTGTAACACTGATTAAATGTTGGTCTCGAGTGGTATTTTACACTCTTTTTGCTGACAGCATTTAGTGCAGCTCAGCATGGACCGTGCTGAATTCACATTTGGAACTAGTCATGGAAGATGTCCTTCACTATTGTGCGTGCTTTTGTTTACTGTACACGCATGAAAAGAAATAACAGTGTTCTTGTAAAGGGCTTTCCTCTTAATTATTTTGTAAGACCTACTCCCTGTGAGGAAATACTGCTTATACACAGCAGAGTACTGTCAGGTGGCCTCCTGGTTGTACTTGGTAATCTCTAGTTTATCAGGAACTGTGATGCTAACAGCCAGCTTCTGCATTTTCTTCATTTATCCTTGTATTGGTTAAACTGCATGGTACTAAGCCTTCCTTGATAGTATCTTTCTTGGATACTGTTATTACAAATAATTCTGTACTAAATTAACATCTGCTTCTCCTTTTGAAAGTCCTTGGTGGTGCGCTTCATGGTGGCCCATTGAACTTCTGCACAGAATGGGGTTTATATGAGAAATTCTGATCAGAACAAACAGCATCTGGTGCAGGGGGGGAGCACTGAGCGCATCCCGGAGCATCAGTTTGGCAGGAGCACATTTTTACTAATTAAAAGTCTGAGAGCAGATTTTCTGGAGGAGGTTTTTCTATTGGTTTCCCATACCCAACAACAAATATTCTATGCATATTGAGCCAGAAGTGGCCATTCCTTAAGTCTGGCTGTTCTTGTAGGATTTTCTGTGTTTTTTTTAATTTCTAATTCTTTAGAAAGAGATCGCTGTTCTGTGTAACAAAGGAGTAAGATACTAACTATTGTGAATATAACAATACTTTTGGTATTAGGGTGATAACACCTCAATTTCAACCTTGTAAAAATAATGCCACTGTTAAGATACTGATAAACCTTGGACCTTTTTGTGCCTGAGAGTTGCTATAATCTCGGAGGGCTGAAGACAATCCCTGACATCTTTGCTAGCGGTGTTACAATCTTACTGTGAAAAATTTTGTTTATGAGCCCTTTTACAGGTTTATAGAAATAAAAAAGCAACAGAAATGCCACTAGCCACAGCATACATCCCCTTATATAATATGTTTTGCTAACGATAAATTATTGACTGCCTATGCCCCAAAGATGGGCAGTATTGTAATTTTCCTTGAATCATGATATTTCTAGTGCTGTTAAAGGTGTCATAAGATAGCATTTTTGCTGTTAACTTCGTTTTCAAGGGCTAAAATTTCAAAGACTGTTTTGGATGCTTTGGACACTGCTTTTGAAGGGAGTGGAGGCAGTTCATTATGTATTTATTTTGTAAGTTTATTAAAAAGACCTAAGGAGTACAGATTTGCAGGAAGGGTAAAAATGCAGCCCACAGCTTTTATGCACGGACGGGTCTCCAGGTTAGTGTCATTTAGCGTATGAAATACGCAACTCTGTCTTTTGGCTGTTCTGACTGACTATGGGGAAATGAGCTTTTCTGTGAAAAGCCCTGTAGAGCATGGACATGTCTGGAGCCACACCACTTCCTCAGAAAACTGCTTGTGCTACTTGGCCTCCTACAAGATTCCTGGTCACAGCGAGGGGTTGGCAGCAATAACTCAAAACTCATTGTCTGACTGCCTACAGTCACATGTTAAGGGAAATGATATTTCATGGGAATGACAGTGAGGAGCTGCTACAAGCCTCATAAGAAAGGACCTTTCTTTGCTCTGCAGTAGAGTTCACCCAATAAAATATTTACTGGTGTAGTAAATCTTAGCAGTGGCATCAGGTTTTCAAGATTTGTTCCCAAGTGAAAGAAGAAGTCTTGGTAATAAGACTAGTTTAGGTCTTTGAAGGAGGAAAAACTTGAACCTCTTAACCTACCTTTATTATTCTCTCTAATTTTATAGGTAAACATGACCGTGTCCCCTCTTATTGCATTCTTGTTGTATACTATCTAAACAATGGGTTTCGCAAGCTTTTTCTGTGTAAACTTTCTCTTGTCTTTTCCATAGTGAAATTTAATCACGAAGAGTTAAATATCTTATGGGACACCTTGCATTTAGGAATGGAGCTATTACAGCTTGCATCTTACCAACTTAGATGACCATGGAGTAGAGTAGCAGAGCGATCAGCATGTGCTCAGATGCGTAAATGCCTAATACATGAGGATGTTAAGAAAGGAGGCAGTGGAAAGACATCTCAATTTAAGATACTCACTTAGCTCTGGTGCAACTGTATATTATTAAGCAGAGAGCTTCAGGTGGGTGTTGTTAACGTTGTAAGGTAAATTCATGTTCTATAGGCAGATGGATAAAATACAATGTCTAATGTATAGTTTGTAATAATATCAAAATATTCAGTACAGGGTTGTTGACATAGTTTGTGACAACAGTCATGTACTGTGCGTACTTAAAGATAACTGCTCTATCAGGAAAAAATGATGGATTAAGGATGAGTACTATAGACAGTGGAAGATTACAGCTAATCCTTTCATAACTGCCATTTTGGTAATGAGATGTGTGTTGTAAAGGTATACATGTAATAGGTCGGAAACAGATTTTTCCTTTTAGCAGCTATTATTTTTTTATTATTGTCAAAATACAAGATGAAGTCTTATTAAAAAGGTGAGGATTCTCTTAGAAAGATTTTTCTTAGGTGAAGTGACGTTTGGTTTTATACATATAGTACCCAAGATGAAAGAAGGAGAATCCATGACAGTATATAATGTACTTAAGGCAATATGTTCTAGGAAGAGTGTTTTAATTAAAATGTTGAATTGGTACAAATACTTTATGTATAAGTAC